GTATGATAATGCTTCTAAGTTGCAATTCCTAATTCCAGCTACCAGATTTGCTGCATAATCTCTTAGTACTAAGAATATCTTATCACTTGTCAACTTATAGTGTTCAAGAACAATTTTTAACTGTTCACTAATTCCTGTAGCTGTGTGGGAACCTTCAAAGGAAACAATTTGCAAAACAGTTCTTTCCTGCTGAAAATCATCCTTCAATCAGTGGACCGTTACACTTGAAAAAGGAGAATTGTTTGTAGTTGCTGTCCAAATATCAGCGGTTAAAGAAATATATTTTGTTTCTGTTAAACACAGAAACACTTCAGCTTTTTAAACAATGTCGAAGTTTCCATGTGTCAACAATTAAGTGTTGCGATTTATTTTAGAAACAAAGGAAGAGATTGTTGATTTGGCGAGGATATTCGATCGTCTCTTGTTTACCTGACCCGAGGGAGATGGAAATATCAGGTGGAGAAAAATGGGTTTTTCCACATTATAATTAACTGTATAATTAACTCCAGGATCTCACACTATTAATTGATGCTATAAATTATTAACACTAATCGGCCGATTAATCGGTATCGACCGATAATGCATGGCCGATTAATCGGTAATCGGCCATTTTGCTTATCGGTGCATCCTTAGTATTTATGTAAACAAGTAACATTTTTAAGAGCGGTGACTTTTAGTTCGAAAAAATAACTTGCTAATTTAACTATATATAAAAAGCATTTTAAATTTAATTTTCATGTATGTTGTAGGGAAATTTTATCCGTCAAATCGAGGTTTTACTGTAGGTATTAAATATACAGCAGTCAATTGTTCGGGATATTAGAGAGGTTGAGGCGCACGTTTTAAACGTGTAAACGTGTACGTGTGACGTTCGGCGCCGCTTTCCCGTAAGCCTAAAAGTTTGAAGATGGTGTTTGAAATGTCAAGCGTGATTCCACCGACTATCCAAACACCATTGTCAAACTTTTAGGCTTACGGGAAAGCGGCGCCGAACGTCACACGTACACGTTTACACGTTTAAAACGTGCGCCTCAACCTCTCTATTACCTGCCTCCAGTCGGTCCAGAAAAATTTTTCATTCCACAAGATTTTGGAAACAAGACTACCAAAAAATATGGTGAACATGTACTCCTGTTTTCTTTTTATCAAATATTTTATTGTCGAGGAACGGAAAATTGTTGCGGAATTTATTACGCAACAATTAGTCTTTTTCGTGTCAAATATGACATTTTGGATTTTTCAGATCATTACATTTTAATACTTCCGAATCCAAAAATGTGTAAAAAATCTAGCAACAAGTATGAGATTTTATTTAAAAACTTGTGAGTCAAAACTTGCCGAACCTTTTCATTTTTTACACAAAAAATAACATTTTAATTTAAAATACGCTAAATCCATTCCCTTTGCACGAAGACATGTTGAGTTGTTTTCTCATGCTAGAATTTCGGTATTCACAATTAATCCAATCCTTTGACAAGACAACTTTATTTCTAACTAAAAGGGTTTAATTAACAAGCTCTACATTAAAGGTAAGCATACCTCGTGCTTCTATCAACGCCACCTAACAGAGATGATTTTATTAAATAAGATGTATCCGCAGCCTTCCCATAGCCAAATTATAGCCATGACAAGGCCAACTGAGTACAGTACTTTTTTTATCGGCAACCTCTTGTACACACGTATATTTAAAATATAGTTGATTTAAAACAAGAATCATATTCTAGCAGAGAATACGGAACAGATGTTTATTTAAACAACTCTCTACGGATTCATTTACTTGCTGTTTTCGTGGAACCGATTACTTGCATAAACAGATGAAGTTTCTTGACAGAAACGGATTCCGTACTTTATAGTATTCTGCCATCTCTACTTAAAACTGATAAAAGTAACGGAAAAAATTTTATGGTCACTTACCTTTTTCTTTAAAGGCAAGAACAAAATTAATTAACTTTATAAGAACTAAGAGAGAGAAATTCATCTGTTCGTTACTTTGCTTCGTAGCGATTTTTATTACTCGGTCTCCGCATTCTCGGCCTAATCAATCTATTTAGCTTTAAATCTTTTAAATTTAAAGCTAAATAGATTGATTAGGCCGAGAATGCGGAGACCGAGTAATAAAAATCGCTACGAAGCAAAGTATAATGGATTTATGTTTACTTTGGAGACTTTACTAATACCGTAAACATTTTTCGTTCTTATACGATAATAAAATAAAAAGTTTTCCTCGAAATTTACTTTGTTTCGAGATGAAATCGATATTTCGAGTTAAATAGAGTGGAATTCATTACGCATAATACTGTATGTCTTTAATTAAAGTATATTATCCAAATTAATAAAATTGTCTCGCTCACTAATTTCTTTTTGTATAGAAATTGCAATTAGAAATAAATAAATAATTTATTTGCAGAAGGAAATTTTTCCTGTCGGGGGAAATACGTAATTAGATTAGTAAATTACATATTATTAAATCAGTTAACAGAATTTCCGTAATGAATAGTTGTTTTACAATAGTCTACATATTAGTTTTATTCTGACATATTTTACAATAGAAAGACAAATTACTATTGGCGTTTCTACAATTATGCAACTGTGCAATTATGCAATTATGCAACTATGTTCAGATTGATCATTATCTCGAATTTACATTGCTTGTTTAGTTTTCCTGCATTTTTATGCTCTTGGGAAAGTAGTTGTATATTTTATAAAGATTTTTTTATTCGTATTATTTAAGTTGTTTTTATATTCATGTGATGATTCTCCTTGTAAAATTCGAGTAATGTTGAGGAAATCACGTAATTTTGAGTCTTTTGACATTTTAGAAATAGATGTTATATTGAAAATTCTTCAGATTTTCACCATAGACATTGATTTTTTGAAAGATCGATATAAGTATTATTAATATAAATAGAGTACTTATTTAAACGTAATTGTGCTACCAGTCCTTTTACATTGAAGTTATTTGGTTTCATTATATATGGTTGTAAAGAAGATATATTTAGTATTTCTAAATATCAGGGGTGATAAGAACTGTGATTCAGGCTGATTTGATCAGAATTAATAGATCGGGATATTGCTGATTCTATTAATATAGTATAACCAATGTTCCACTTTAATATATTATCTTTAAATAGTAAATTAAATACTGCAAAAGAATTTAGTATGCGATTTGATTTGGTTTGCCAGAGTTGTGAAGTGATTGATTTTTTACTATAATTACTTAGTTTTCGGTGTAGAAAGAAGATATTATTATCACTTTTAAATTTTAATCGATAGTAAAATTTGATAATTCGTTTTAAGAAGGGGTAGGAACATATTCCACTAGTTTCATTCCGAATTGCATATCCTCGGACGGATCTTTCGAGCAGGAGAAAGTATATATGGTAAATTTCTAATTTGTACAAATAATCAAGAACCCAGATTGGTGAAGCATAATAAACGATTGTATTGATAATTGAATTATAAAGTTTCATACGAATGGACAAGTTAGAGATTTTTAAGTTTGAGTATAAATATAGCGGATTATTGATGGCAAGTTTTACTTTATTGTTTAAATACGTGATATGTGCTTTAAACGTGTGATTCCAATCGAAGACAACTCCCAGGAATGTTGTTTCATTTACTGATTGGCCAAGAGGATTATTCTTTAGATAAATTGTCGATTCTTTTTTAGAGATGTTGCTGTTGTTACGATAGATGAGAATTTTGGTTTTAAGATGATTAATTCTTAAGTAGAGCGATTTGAGATAAGAATTTACCAGATTAACTTTTTTTTGCAATGAGACTAGTCAGAGCAAATATTGCTAAATCATCAGCAAATAACACATAATGGAAAGTCCTATCGTCAATTTCTATGTCATCTGAGTTGTTTTGAAAAATTCGGTCTATCTCGTATAAGTAGAAGTTGAATAAATAAGGTGGGAGAGGGTCACCTTGAAGAATATCACGTGTTAATATTATTGATGGGGAAATGGATTGGCCTTGTTTAACTTTTACGTTACAGGTTGTAAACAGTTTTGATATTGTTGTTGTAAATTGGTTTCCTGCTTCTTTTTTGTTAGATTGTGCACCAGTAGTGGAACGTATCAGAGTCAAATGCTTTTTGAATGTCTATAAATGCTACATAAACTTTTCTGTTTCTTGATCAGATGTAATTGATGACAGATTCCGTTCCTGTGTGTTTGAGGAAGGCATACTGGAAGTTCGCTTCTAGATGCATTATTTTGGTTCAGTGTTGAAATTTTATAGCTAATAGTGCAGTAAAACATTTTTTTAAGGTTTGTAGTAAGGCTATTGATCTATAGTTATTTGGCAAAAGTTTGTCACTTTTTTTGTATATCATTATTAGGATTACTGTGATCCAGGATTTTGGATAATTGGTTACTTTTTACATAGTTTTGAAAAGATGTAACAGTTTTTCTCTTGCTTGGTTTGGTAACGTTTTCAAAAATTTAATTGAAATAAAGTCACTTCCCACAGATGTATTACTGCGAGTTTTATGAATAATATCTTCAAGTTAATTAATTGTAAATTTGGCGTTAAGATATTCATTATTAGGATTATTGGTAGGTATTAAAGTGGGAATATCTTGGGTAATAAAAAAACGATGATAGAATTTTTTTCATGTTTCAAATTCTATTGTAGAGTTCTTGTTCTTAAGATCCATTCTAAATAGAAATTTTTGTATTAATGACCAGAATGTTCTGCTATCGTTACTATTCTTTATAAGTGTTATTTTCAATTTTGAGAGATAATTTTTCTTTTTTGCTTTAATTAGATTATTATAAATTTGCTTAGTCTTTATACAGTTTTGAAAATTTAAATTATTTGAGTTTTCACAAAATTTTTTAACGTATTCTTGTTTCATTTTTTTCATCTTGTAACAATTCCGGTCGATCCATGGTTTTTAAATTTACTATGGATGTCATTTTTATCGTTTTTGATTTGGATATATTCTCTCATTATTTGAATTATATTATTATATATCATATCAGAGTTGCGGTTAGTAATTTCAACAAACAAAATAAAACTTACTATAAAATGTCAAATATTCTTTCGAATATTTTGACATTTTATAGTAAGTTTTATTTTGTTTATTTTACTCGTTGGTAGATGTAGTTTGAGAGAATAAGAAATTGGGCTATTGTTGGAAAATGGTCTGGTACATCGTGTGTGGTTATAGCAAATTCTGTACTTAAATCCAACATGTATTCGGAACAAACTGTTAAATCTACTATAGATTATCTATAGTAGATTTGCCATTATGTTTGACACATGTAAATTCTGCAGGGTAGTTTTTTTTTGAGTCGTCCATTTAACATATATAGTTTGTTATCTTTTGCTAATTTTATTAGATTTTCTCCTGTTTTGTTGGTAGACTTATCTTTGGATTGTCTAACATCTTGGATTAAATGGTTAGGACCTTTGTAGTATGAGTGAGTCTGTTAACTCAGCAATTCGTGCATTAAAGTCTCCCATTAGGAGTACTATATTCGGTGTACTGTAATATGTTGCCACAGATCTATTAGTTTAAATATTTCGTTCAATTTTGACAGATTGTTGGGTGGAATATATGTAACCATTAGTATTATTTGCTTGTAGTATTTGTTTCTCAATAACGGTTTATTCATTGCGATTAGAAGAAAAATACAGTTGTCCAATTTTTTGATATATTGTACAGTCGATCCCCCTATAACACGGTAGATACATTCCGGTTTTCACGAATCCATTTTATACGAGTCCAGCTAATCACAGCCCGGCACGTATGCAGTTTACGGACTACGGCTGTTTGAAAGGTTTCTTCCACAAAATTAATCGATTATAGACTAATTTGACTCAACATTTCTAAAATATATAGGCTATAATTTTTTGGGAGTAATTCATATAAACTATGCTATAAACAAAAAAATTGTAGGATTACTTACCGAGCGTGCACCGTTCGACTGCGCCATTGCTTAAGCTTGTTTTCTTCGTGGAGCTTGTCGTCGAATGGCGCTCGCGTGCTTCCTGATAAATTATTTTCTTTGCGAAAAATTCTCTGAATTTTGGAGACATCAAATAATATAAATATAATTTTTATGGACGTTAAATAATAAATGGTTTTTAGTAGGTTCGCTGCTCGTTTAAACTCAACGGTTTGTACAATATCCGCTATTGGTCTAGATTCGACCAATTCTGTCGCGACACGAGTCGTAGATGACGTTTTACCGAATTATAGGAGTTTTTTAGCATGTTTGTACGAGTACTGTCGCAATTTTTTTC